TCAAAACAGATCACAGGAGCAGTTCTCTTGTCAAGTTGTCTGTATGTTAGATGAGCAACTCATTAATATTTAATTTCTCATTTTTATTGATAATACAACCCAAGTAACCAGAAAGCACTGAAAATTACATCATTAAAACTGAGAAAGGAAATTTTTATTAAAAAACTAATGCATCAAGACATTTGCCATTTATTTATATTAAATAGTGTGCCCTTATTAAGAGGGATCCAAAGCAGGAAACAACAGGCATCATTGTTAAATTTAAAATGTAATGGGTTGCTGTGTTTTCCAGGCTGTATGACCATGTTCCTGAAGCATTCCCTCCTGATGTTTCACCCACATCTATGGCAGGCATCCTCAGAGATTGTGAGACCTGATTGTGAGATCATACAGCCTGAAAAACTCACAGCAATACAGATTCCAGCCATGAAAACCTTCGACAACACATTAAAACATAATCTTCATCACTAAAATCATAAAATGCATTACAGAACACAACTGAAAAGCACTGTAGAAAATATCACATAGTAACTTAAACACAACAGTTAAAAGCTTTGCTGAGATAAAACATTCAACCATTGATAGAACACTGGTAAAGGTGGTTATAACCTAAATTCATGAGGCAAGGAATTCCACTAATGGCGTGTAGTCATGATAGATTACTTTTTTTAATATTTAGTTTCATTAAACATCCTGTAAAATGGAAAACTGGCTATCAGAACATTACTTGTGAGCCAGAGCAATATCTCTGGGTCCTCTTCACAGTTCAGTTGGTTTCAATTGACTTTGTGGTTGAGCAAACAGTTCCAGTATCTTTCCATGCCTCCACCCTTTCAATCCTAAAGTTGGCCTTGTAGTGGAAAAGAGACAACCCAGCTGGAGAAGGTTACAAGTCTTTCTTGATTGATCCAAATGCCTACCGAGCAGGGGTGTCTGTTGAATTTGGGGATGTGGGCTGGCAATGATTCATTCAGTTGGAAGTGGTGAAGTACAATATGTACTTTAAGCCCTTCAGTCTCTGCTGTGGCTGAGGAGAGCAACCTGAGAGCAACTAATCAAAAGGTAACCACATGTCAATAAAGGGCAGTGCTTGGTTTCTTATCCAACAATAAACATCTACATTTCTGAAATACCTGCTTTGGTCAGAATCTTCAGGACTCTCACAGTGCTACTGGCCTCAAAAGCCCAGAAGGGTCAGGGAAAGTGATGTGAGCTAATTGGAGCCAGTTATTAAATAAATTTATTTATTTCAATTCTTAGAAATGTTTCAAAGGGGAGGAGACATGCGCATCTTGACCCTCAAAGAAATTGTACCATGCATCTATAACAAAATTTTTACATAAAGGCAAGATTTCATAGAATCATAGAGTTGGAAGAGACCTTGTGGGCCATCCAGTCCCAACCCCTGCCAAGAAGCAGGAAAATTTCATTCAAAGCATCCTCGACAGATGACCATCCAACCTCTGTTTAAAAACCTCCAAAGAAGGAGCCTCCACCAAACTCTGGGGCAGAGAGTTCCACTGCTGAACAGCTCTCACAGGAAGTTCTTCCTAATGTTCAGGTGGAATCTCCTTTCCTGTAGTTTGAAGCCATTGTTTTGTTTTGTTTCCCTCCTCTGGACACTTTCCAGCTTGTCAACATTTCCCTTCAATTGCAGTGCCCAGAATTAGACACAGCATTCCAGGTGTGATCTAACCAAGGCAGAATAGAGAGGGTAACATGACTTCCCTGGATCTAGACACTATACTCCTATTTATGTACGCCAAAATCCCATTGGCTTTTTAGCTGTTGCATGACATTGTTGGCTCGTGTTTAACTTGTCCATGAGGACTCCAAGATCTTTTTCATACGTACTGCTATTGAGCCAGGCGTCCCCCATCTTTGCATTTCTCACTTGTTCTCTCAATTTATCAGTTCCTTTCTGGTAAGTCCCATGAGTACATATAATATGTCTATCCTATTCCGCAAAATATACAGTACTTTTAAAAATTGTTTTCTTCAATATTGTAGAAAGGCTAGTGAACATTTTAACTAACACTGAAGTTGGTGCAGAGCCTCTTGGTATAATTTGCACCATATCAAATCTTGCCTTCTAGAGAGAAAAGTACATATAAATCTGCAGCCTGTGAGTGAATCTCCCTTGGTCAAATAGAATTTACCTTTGAGCAACCACAAGGCTATGCTGCACAGTACCCAAAGATATCATACACATGACAGATTTCAGATTATTTTTTCAGCATTTACACATAGTTTAATTTTTGTTTACACATCTGTTTCACTCTGATTCCACTGCCGTATATTTCTTCTCTGGACTTTCCTCCTCAGCTTAGTGATCCATATGGGAGTTGACAGTACCAAAGCCCAAAAAGCATCTTTAAAACCTGCATTATTTAAAGTATGTCAACTGCATAGTGGAACTAGTTAATTATTGAAACTCCTTTGGATAGCTAGTTACTGCTTGGGGGCAGGAAAACAATTGCACTCTATCAGGAGCAGACATAGTTTCTTTCATGAGAGTTACAAGGTCAAATATCTGAGATTATAAGAGAAGTCTGAGACACCATTTCAAAGTGTCCTTTGTCTTTAAAACTCTCTGAATCAAACAGAGAATGATGACTTTGTTTTTCAGAAAGGCGAAGTTCCATCACAAACAACAGAACAAAATGGAGATGTCAGCTCTTTTTAATTTGATCTTCCCTTGAACTATCGGTGCCTCTTTTGAAACAGAAAGAAAAAGAATTTCTTACTTTTCTCTGACTTCCATTATTTACCCAAAACAACTGAACAAAATGTTTATCACAAAAACGAAACAGCTATAATTGCCATTCCATTTTGAACCTTTGCAAAATTATTATATGAAAAGTCACAGAAAATGTAACTGAATACATCCGCCTACCACTTGAAAATGAAGTCACAGAAATGAACTGCAATAATTTTGGAATGAGAAGTCAAAAGTGAATTCAAACACAGCTTTGTTACAATAAAGTACCATCTTGAATGCTTGTTTGCTGGATGATACTGCTAATCTGAACTCACATTTTAAACAATTCCAGCATTTTAGATGTCTTTGAAAATCTAATTTAAGCCATTGTACTTTCACAGCACAATCTATAATCAAACCTCATTTTTGCAGGTTTAATCGTCCCAAAGTTGATTATTCACAAGTTTGTCATCAATAATTAAATGGAAGACAATAGAGGTACATGTGTTAAATATGTGTCAATACATGTGTCAATAGTTTTAAGAGTTAAGGTTTGGGAGCCAACAAATATTCACAGTTTTTCCACATTTGCAAATGAGCTATGCCCTAACACCCATGAATGTGAAGTGTTAGCTTTATACGCCTATTATTATTTATTTATTTATTTACAGTATTTCTATACCGCTTTTCTCACTCCTAGGGGGACTCAAAGCAGTTTACACATAACTGACAAAACTTCAATTGGACACTGATGCGATGCCAAACCATAACAACCACAATAATAAAACCACAATTAAACATAAATCATAATTAGACAGTACATAAGCAATCATTAAATCAATAAATAATAAAAACAGTCTTGCCAGTCGTATTGTCATTCTAGTCCATGTCCTTTAAATTCTACAAACATCTACTGTCCGAAGGCCTGGTCCCAAAGCCATGATTTTAATTTCTTTCTAAAAGCCAGGAGAGAGGGAGCAGACCTTACCTCATTTGGGAGTGTGTTCCATAGGCGAGGGGCCACCGCCAAGAAGGCCCTGTCTCTCGTCTCCGCTAGACGCATTTGTGCAATTGACGGGAGCGAGAGCAGGGCCTCCCCGGATGATCTTAGATTACGAGATGGGACGTAGGGATGGATGCGTTCGGACAAGTAGGCTGGGCCAGAACCGTATAGAGCTTTATAGGTCAAAACCAGCACTTTGAATTGGGCTCGGAGATGGACTGGCAGCCAGTGGAGCTGGCACAACAGGGGGGTGGTATGCTCCCTGTATGACGCCCCAGTTAGTAATCTGGCTACTAGCTGAAGTTTCTGAACCGTCTTCAAAGGCAGCCCCACGTAGAGCGTGTTGCAGTAATCTATACGAGATGTAACCAGAGCATGGACGACCGTGGCCAGATCAGACTTCCCAAGGTACGGGCGCAGCTGGTACACGGGTTTTAACTGTGCAAAAGCTCCCCTGGCCACCGCCGAAACCGGGGCTTCCAGGCTCAGCGATGAATCCAGGATCACTCCCAAGCTGTGAACCTGTGTCTTCAGGGGGAGTGTAACCCCATCCAACACAGGCTGTAGCCCTATGCCCTGTTCGGCCTTTTGACTGACCTCTGTCTTATCTGGATTCAATTTCAATTTGTTAGCCCTCATCCAGTCCGACACAGCGACCAAGCACCTGAATGGCTCTTTACTGCATGTTTTTTTATAGCTACACGGAAGCAAGGCTCATCATTTCAACATAACTTTTAGATAACCAATAGGGCTGGGCGGTTTCGTTTCGTTAATTCGTAATTCGTTAATAATTCGTTATTTTTTTAATTACAAAACGATAACGAACCATTCTGGAGCAATTTTTAAAAAAACGAATTTTTAAACACGTTTTGTAAATGCTTCGTATTTCGTTATTGTATTCGTTTCGTTATTGTTCTGAGGTCGTTTCGTTATTATTTCCGCATGTCTGGGGCAAGTTTTTTGTTTAATTAGTGAAAAAAAATTATAATATCACACCAACAGTCAACAACAGAGGGAGAGGGAAGCTTCAGAAGTTTTTGGAGGTTTTTTAGCGTATTTCGCGGTCGCGTCCGCCATTAAAGAATCGATTCGTTATTGTTTCGGAAATCGATTCGTTAATGTTTTGTAATTTTTTTCACATTTACGAAATTTCGTAAATATCGAACTTTTTAAAAGGAAAATTTTGTAATTATTTTAAATAACGAAACGCAAAAAACCCCAAAAAACGAATCGATTTTAGAAACAAATTTTTCCGTTGTTACCCAGGCCTAATAACCAAATCAAAAGTTCAAGGTCAATGATTCATACTTCTATATTTGTACAGTTTGGAGAAAAATGTAATTGAACTTTATCAAGCCAGAAATCACAAACAGTATCAAAAATAATTACAAAGTGCTTGCGGTGTTCACCTGGTTCTAATATTAAACATAAAGTACTATCCAGTTAATGGCCTTTCTTTCATACATACCCAAAGGACTTACATATTCATTTAGAGCAGTGGTTCTCAACCTGTAGGTCCTCAGATGTTTTGCCCTTCAACTCACAGAAATCCTAACAACTGGTAAACTGGCTGGGATTTCTGGGAGTTGTAGGCCAAAACCCCTGGGGACTCATAGGTTGAGAAACACTACTTGAGAGGTTCTTGTAAAGCACTGCTTCTTAAACTTTGAGTCCTCACCCCAAATGAGGTCTCCTTAGCTTAATGTTGGGCTCCTGAAAATTTGGCAAGCGTAAAAGGTTTCTGAACACCACCCATTTACACAAACCTGTTAGTAACAACATGCAGTCTTTGTAGCGGACTCTGCATTAAACCCTTCAGCTGTACTCCACAAAAAGATGTACTTTTTAGCAAGCTTTGCAAATGCTGATTTGTTCTCAGTAAAAATTTGATTTTTATACCTGTTTTAAATACCTATATACCCAAGGTTGCATAAAAATTTCCTAGTCCAAAAAGGGGTTGTGAATGAAAAGTTTAAGAAACCCTGCTTTAGAGTGATCATACATAACATACCTTTTCCGCATTTTGTTCTTGTGCCCAGGCTGACAGCACTAGATCTAAATCAGAGCTACAAATACATCAGTGTGCCAAAATTACTTCTAACACTGTTGGACTGTGTCCTTGGTAATCAGGCCTTCCAAGTATCATTTGTTCAGCCTTAAAACTATTGATACTAATTATAAACATACAAACACGCACACACAATATATACAAGACATATACAATTTCTGCAATGTCAATATGCAATATTTGTACAAAAGTATTTTGCATCCTAGTTTAGGGAAAGTCTTTAATTATATATCCACATTCACTACCATCAGATCATTCCATGGAATTGGACAAATTCATTCTATATCGGCTTTAACCCTAAAAGTAAGATTGGTCACAAAAGAGTTCAGTTAAATATTAATTGTGTAATGTAATCCTAAGCATGTCTACTCAGAAGAACATCCCATTGAGCTCAGTGGAACTTACTCTACTAAGTGTTATTAGGATATCAGCCCAAATTATGTACACTTTCTGTAAATATAAAACAGTAGCTTTTCATCTGATACAGATTTTAACAATGAGTATAAATTAACAATGGCACACATTATTATAATTATTATTTATACTTCAGATTTAAATTTATGTTCTGCTTCTATACTACAACACAATCTGGGAGATTTCCAACCAATTATTTTAAAAGTATAAGCATACCTGGGTTGCTGTAAGTTTTTCAGGCTGCATGGCCATGTTTCAGAAGCAGTATCTCCTGACGTTTCACCTGCATCTATGGCAGGCATTCTCTGAGGTTGTGAGGTCCGGCCATGAAAGCCTTCGACAACACATATAAGCATACCCTTTACCATTTTCTCAAATTGGCATAGGACATATTAAAGTGCTTTAGGCATAACATTTTGGCCATAAAGCTGTCTGAAATATACAATTAAAAGTAAAAATATAATTGGTTAAGAAAGCAAAACTTTAAATATACTTTGGAAGTAACACAGAGCTTCTTTTAAAAGGTGGCATATTTTGATCTAACCTAACAATTCCCATAAAAGCAGAAATTATTTGATAAAATTGATTTTCAGAATTTAATCTGAGATACAATCAGATAAAAAGCAAAATAATTCTGTATGGTGATGAGATCCATCTGTTTTCACCTCCAAAAACATAAGTTGAAAATATACAGGAAGTTCTTTCCCATCTATACACGAGATTTCAGTGCTGAACAGTGAGCTGGCTTGAAATCTACACAACTCAAATTTTACTCTTAGTTCTCTTCTTTCAATACAGTTTTTACATTTTAAAAACCTTATTGAGTCTTGAATTCCTTGCAGTTCACAGGAGAGTTCTCTTTTTTGAAATATCATTTGATTGAAGCTACTTCTGTTCCTACAGAATGTGTGCTTACATACACATGATGTTAGAAGGCAGAACTGTTTTCCAGGTAGTTTAAATGCACTATATGCTATCGTGCTGTCACGACCCAGAGGCCGAGTGCCACGTTGGCAGCCAAAAGTGTGCTGCCAGCAAGCAAAATTAAGAAGCCAACCAGCTCTCTGTTTTGTTTTTCAACTATCAGCGTGCTAAGAGTAGCTTCCAGGAAGGAGTTCAATATCCATTGACCATCCAAAGCAAAGCAAGGGACTGCATTAATCACGGCCAGTGCTCCAGAGAGTGAAATCAGATACCTAGTCAGAATTAGTCAAGGCAGATGAACAAGGTTGCACTTTTTAAAAATACAAAAAGAGGCACTAGATCCCAAAACTTTGGTAACCTAAATTCAATTACTATTCTCAGTTTGAACCTATGAAATCAGTGGAATTTACAAAAACATTGACTTAATAAATTCGCATTGATTTACTAAGGGCACTATATCAGATTTAATTCTACATGTTTTGGCTGGATCAATAGGAATCATATTCACTGTCCACATAAATTTTAGACCAGAACATTCCAAGCTCTGTCCCCACTCATTAGTGTGTCGGTTAGTGTGTAGGTGTGTTGCATGAACATAATGAGAAACCTCTGAGCCTATGTGAAATAAGCAATAAATCATACATTTTTTAGGAATGTGAATGAAAAGTTTTCCTGAGATATGTTGTGTCCATATCTCTTATAAAGATTTGGTTTAATCTCTGGTTTGCTAGTAGAACTGAATTACTGTGTTGCAAAATCATGCATGTCTAAAGAGTGTGTCACTAACATGAAATGTTCCAAAAGCTCTGTTTTAGACTAACACTAGAATGTCAGAAACACACATATCCCAAAATTTCACAAAGAGTCAACATCTACCAATCCCCATAGGTGCCTGTTAACTGACAGTCTGCTGTATTTCCATCTATCCATACAAGAGAAAACCAGGAAATGAGAACTTTCACTCAATTCTTCTATATAGCTTTTTCCAAGTAAAAAATACGCTGCTTCACATCCTGACATGCATGTTTTAGTTACTCACAAGTTTCCACACACATTTGTTCATATATATTCAGACACTATACGTACAAATGTCACCCTCATCCACCCAGGTAAAAGCCACAGTACTTAAAAGTCAGACAAATAAATTTGGCAAACAAGACAGAACATCTCTGTCAGTATAACTAAAATGGTTAAATTGAATAACCCCAATCTGTTGGCCTTTCGTGACACTCATAATCTGCTGTCTGAAGCTGCAGTTTTTTCCTGTCCAACAGCAGAGTCGGCCAGTGAATGGTATATCAGTCAGAAGTAATGTGTAGCTTATACAGAGTGGAGGGTGCTGAATTTGGCAGTGATTGGGAGCCTGTCTTTATGGCCAAGGACTGGACTTTAATAATATTTTTTACATACACAAACTAATCAGACAAATGCTAGAGAGGAGTCTGCTGTAGTAGCAAGAGTGATTTGTTGAATAGCTTGAGAGAGATTCAACAGTACACAACAACTGCAGGATTTTCCTCCCTCTCAAAAAGAGATGTTCAACATGACAAGTGATGGTGTTTAAAGCTGAAAGTTTTGATCTTGGCTGCCAACTCCTTTAAAAGGTAGAATCCACAACCTAGACAAGATCAGACTATTTTTAAGTCAGTTGTTGAGATCTTTTAAAATCCTCTAGTCTTTACCAATTCTCTTAATACCTTTTTTGTGTGTACAAGGTCAGACAAATCTCAAAGGATACTTGCAAAACGTTTCCACAACCACAGGCAAGTCCATACTAAGAAAGTTGTGTCGAGGTACAAAACTGCTGAGGCTCACTGAAACAAAAATGATTTCATAGGCTTGTGTGAATGTGAAGAACATTCCAATACAGCTCATTTTTTATCATTTGTTTGTGGCAAACATTACTGTGGCTCTGATTCTTCATACTATTAGCCAAGAATTCATTACTATTAAAACATCTCTCCATAGTAACTCAGCAGCAGTTTTAACAGTAAGCATTTTGTTAACTGAAAACATGATATGCTGTGATTGCTTAATAGTTGAGAATGTGCAGTCTTTTATAGTAGGGCGTTATTCTCAGTCTGAAGAACCACAGGTATAAGCATAACAATTGAAAAGGCAATAACCAACAAGATATGAGTTTGATTCTTCCTGTTCATTGTGTTAACATTCTTAGGGCCCTTCCACACAGCCCTATATCCCAGAATATCAAGGCAGAAAATCCCACATTATCTGAGTGTGGACTCCTAGAATACAGTTCAAAGCAGATACTGTGGGATTATCTGCTTTGATATTCTGGGACATAGGGCTGTGTGGAAGGGCCTTTTAGTTACATGGTGCCAGAGTTTTACATTTCAAATGAGTCTATGGTGCAGTGCATTTCTAACAAAGTGGAAATATGAAAAGAAACAGCTATATTTCTTATTCCTAAGAACTCATAAACCATACCTGTGTTCCTAGAAGTTTGTGTATGGAATATCCCTTGCTCTTAATCCTTGATAAAAGTATTTTTATTTCAGGGTTTTTTGAAATTTGAAACAGTTGCATATACATAACATTTGTGTACCTTACATACATAACATGAAGAAGATAAGTTTATACACAACTGCTACCCACCTACTTTCTCCCTTCTCCAGTTTTCAGAAAACCTACCTCAATGTCTCCATGACAACCCTCTGGCAATGATGCGCACTTTCCTTCCTCCATTTTCCTCATCCACCTTCTCCGTCTTTTTCCTTTCATTTCTTCTTCCTTTGCTTTCCCTTAGACACCTCCCCCCTCTTTTTTCTTTCCTTCCTCTTTCTTTCTCTTTCTCTTTCCTTCCTTCATCCCTTCTTTCTTCCCTTCCTTTCTCTTCTCTTCTTTCCATACCCTCACACCTTTTCCCTTTCCCTTTATCTTCATTTCTTCCCCCTTTTCTTCTGCTCCCTTCCTTTCTTCTCCTTTCCTTTCTTTCCTATCTTGTTCTCTTTCTTTCTTTCCTCCCTTTCATACATATCACATAACAGCAGCCAAGCGACATCACTCCCTTTCTTTCCCAGTGATATCACAGACGGCCACTTCACTTAGCAACAGCCAATCCTTCACCTATCCATAGCCAGTCTGCTTCACTCCTTTTCTTTCCCTCTACTCTGAACCTGAAAGGGGTGGTTCTTTTAGTTAAAAACCTTCAATTATTTCATGTTAGATATTGATGAGGATGTGTGTAAAGTTTAGTCCCAAACCATCAAACCATGTAGGAGGTTTTGTGGCACAAAAAGACATACATACACACATACTTAAAACTTATATATATATATATATATATATATAAAAGATATTTTTAAACAGTTGGGGCATGAAACAAAGTTTGTGTAAATGGAACCATCAGAATGTGGTTGCCAATTATGAACCACTCCGAGTTGCCTATATAGAGGGGCGGTATATCAATGTGGTAAATAAAAAAATGCAAGGGAGTCACTATCTCAACCACAATTTTGGATTTTTAGATAAGAGACACTCAACCTGTACTTCCTTCACAAATAAAGAATTTGCATTAAGAAAAAGCTAAATTTACAAACTTTTCAATACATTATCCCACTAATTGCTTACATGTGTTTTTTAATTAAAATAATTCAAAATCATGCCTACCTGTATATTGAAGATGCAGTGGGTGCCCAACAAACAACATATCAACCTGTGGGGGATGTTTCACCCGAATGAACCTCGTTTGATTTTCCAAAGAAGGTGTCACACACAAACTTGGGACAAAATCCTTCCGGCAATCCACATTAGTCCGGCAAAGTTGACTGGCCTCGATAGCTTTCCGGGCTGGTAGGCAAGCATACTGGCCACACATTTTAAAATAAAGATTGAGTTAAACCATGAACATTCAAAACATACCAATGCTATATAAAAATTCAAAAAGTGACATTTTTATGCCAATCTGATAGTCCACATCCCATCCTTTGCTCTAAGTCAGACTCCTTCAACAATCTTGATAACATGGTTACTACAGTTCCTATTACTAACTGTTACAGCTACAACAGAAATTCCCTTCACTGACAGATGGCATGGTCATGGCTAACTGTGGTGAGGGATATGTTGCCGCACATTTTTCAAGAGGCACATTCCACAATGTACTGCCATGTGGTGTTTCAAGAGACATCTTCAGCCTCTGCAAACAGGGAATTCAGCTTTTACTAAACTCAGATTCACACCAAAGTAGGAGTCCACTCTTTCTTGTAGTTTCACCTTAACAGTAATCAATTGGGAGTCCAAGATACTTTCTCTCAAGCCATCTTCTCTGGAATGAATTCCCAATGTACACAGGGTATTCAAGGAGTCAAGACATAGCTACTTAGGTTAAAGTGACTTGACTGATTTGTTCTGAATTGTTAGTGCTATTGTTGCCATCCCTTTCTTCTCTCTAAATTTTCTTTTACATGTACATCAGGCTGTATTATATATATATACAAGGAGCATACAACTCCTCTATTACGCCAGCTCCACTGGTTGCCAATCAGCTTCCGAACACAATTCAAAATGCTGGTTTTAACCTTTAAAGCTCGAAACGGTTCTGGCCCAGACTACATGTCCAAACGTATCTCCTACTATGAATCATCACGAAGTTTAAGATCATCTGAAGAGGCCCTGCTCTCGATCCCACCGCTGTCGCAAACGCGATTGGTGGAGACGAGAGACAGGGCATTCTCAACATTTAGCAGAAGGCGCCCTATATGCCATCCAAACCTAACACAGAATAAAATTTTGCCTCTATTGCTATTCTGATAATTAATGTGTTGATGATGCTGATTAGACAGATACTAGCTAGCTAGATGGATAGAAAGATGGACAGCTCAAAAGTTATACTAGAAGAACACCACCCTTTAATGACTCCAGATAAACTATACATGAAAAAAATGTCTACTGTAGCACTGGCCTCAAAGGAAAAAACAAACAAATCAGAATTGTCTCCAATGTTCCTTTATGCAGAATATCAGACATGCATAGCAATATTGTTTGCTTTCATTTTTTTTTTAAAGCAAAATGGCAGTGGTACAAATACAGCAATCTCTCACAAGACAATTCATTATGATAAGGCTAATGTTGCATGTATTTTTTAATATACATTCCCAGGAATGTTTATTAATTATATTTATTAACAATATTTGTATGCCATCCCTAAAAAGAAAGCTTTCCAAACAACTTGGGCAGTAAATGTAATAAAACGCAACTTGGGCAGTAAATGTAATAAAACGATTGCCATACTCTCTCATTTTTTGTTCAAATTTAGTGAGCACTGCCTGTCATATCATTTGGAAGATGAACAGCCCAAAACGTTATGAGCATTACAAAAAGACATAAAAAGGCCCTGAACAATTGTTTTTGTCTGTCTTCATTTAACTCTCCCTCCCTGCCAAAATCACAATTTTTTAAAAAAACAACAGTATTTAAGATATATATATATTATAGTACAAGGTAAACATGCTTAGTTGTGCTGTTCAACTCTGCTCTGCTGATGGCATCAATAACCTACCTGATGACTATTCAGATTATTAATGTATGAAAAGCAGACATCTGTGAGGCTGTTGTTGTTACAACATTCAATGGTGTCATCAAGTCTTTTAAAACCTGAGGAGAAATAAACTTTAAGATCAAATTTCCAGATTTCCTGTCGTAGTCACTGTGAATCGTACACTTGATATCTCTGCGCATGCGTAAGCAGCTTTCGGAACCTTCTAGAATTAAAAGAATGCCAATCAGACCCGGCTAACCCCGCCCCCCTCACCCCGAGTATAAGAACCCCATAGGCGGGGTTAGCCAGCAGTTCTCTTTTCCGCGCTACTTCGGAAGCAGCTTGAGAACCTCTCTCTGTCTCCTCGAGTTTTACTCACGAGTTGATCTTGCCTGCATCGACTGTTACTGACCCGGACTGACTGACTATTCTACCAATCTCCAACCTCGACCCACGGATCGTTTGACTTCTCTTTTTGTCTGTAGCCATGTCCACCTCCTCCTTTAAGAGGTGCGCCAACGCTAGCTGTCCGAATACTTTTCCGGACACGGATGGCCATTCACTCTGCCTGGCGTGCCTGGGCGAGGGGCACCTCACACAATCCTGTCCGGTCTGCCTAGCCTTTACAGCTCAGACAAGGAAAAATAGGGAGTCTCGTCTCAAGGCTGCCCTATACGAGAAGGCCCTTCTACCACCCTTGAGCCAGGCCACTACCTCCGCGGAGCCGTTTCCACCTACCTTGGGCCGCGTTGAGTCACTGGCGAAGAAGAAGGCCAAAAAGCCGAAAGAGAAGGGCTCCCAAGATGGCCGTCAGCCCGTCTTGCCAAAGAAAACGGCCTCTAAAAAGGCGGGAAGCTCCGCGCCAATTTCCCTCCTTACTCCCCGTAAGGAGTTTCCTCTGGGAGGCTCGGAGCGACCCCTGCCGGCGGCAAATGGCGTTGCGCAAGCTGCATGCAACGCTATATCGAGCCCTCGCCAACCGACTGCGGATGAGACCCTCCTGCAACCGAGCACGCCAGCTCCCCCTGTCCAAGGGACCCGGGCGATCCAAGAGGCTGGAGGGACTTCAGCGCCTGAGAGATCTCCACCTGCGCTGACTCCGATCCCCTCCGGAAGCCAGGCCTTCGGGGGCATCTACAACGCCCCGCCTACCCTTGCGCAGGCCCCTCCCACTAGGGAGCCCGGCACGCCAGCACCGCCTATTGTGACTGCCTCTCCCCAGGGGGCAGGAGCTGCATCGGGAGAAGGACCCTGCCTGGAAGCTCCGCCCCCGGCAGCCCTTCCCTCCCTGCCTTCCCAGCAACTGGCGCCTCCGAGAGCGGCGCGCTTGCCATGTGGGCGGCTTAGGCGGTCCCGATCGCCTTCGAGAAGGAGTGGGAGCTCCCGATACCGTCGACGCCGATCCTCAGATAGGCGCAGGCCGCGAGGACGACCCTCCTCCTCCTCCTCCTCATCCTCCTCTTCCTCACCGAGATCGAGGCGCCGCCGACGCTCTAGAGCGTCACGTTCCTGCTCCTCGCAAAGGAGGACCTGCGGATCGACCCCAAACCCCCCCTCGGGGTACTGGCACTTGAACCAATCTGGCCAGATGGTCTTCGTGGCGGCACCCATGCCTCCCCCTCCTCCTATGCCCACCCCGCCTATGGCTGCGATGGCACTTAGGGAGTCACAACCTCCCACATATGTTCCTGCTGCACCAGTTTTGCCACATGCTCCAGTGGATTCTATGGGGGCTCCTCCCCCGGAGAACCAACCCCCGGGAGGGGCGCTACTTGCGGCGCCTACATTGTGTCGTGAAGCTCTGATTCCTACTACTGCTTGTGTTGATCAAGGTGTGTGTAACCCCCCTAGTGATCAAGCTGTATGTAACCTCCCTACTGTGCCTAATTATTCGTGTGCTTCACCCTTTGTGCCGAACTCTTTGGGACTGAACTCATGCCCCCCCACAGGGGCAGTGACAGTGACTCAACCACTTGACACACCTGTAGTCCCATTGGCCACTCCTAGAGTGGAACTACCAAGCACTTCTGCACAGGACGATGGGGACCATGTGGGCACTGACTCTGACTCTGAGCCCCCCGACGCCCCACTGCTGGGTGCTGAGGGTACCTCCACTACCTTGCCAGCGGATTTCAACAAATTCGCAGTACTGATAGAAAGAATGATTAAAGCCCTTGACATTCCGGCTCCAAAACCCCCAGAGCATGTGGAGGATTTTATGTTTACCTCTGACGAACAAAATGTTGTCCCTGCTTCTACCCTTCCCATGCTCCCATACCTATTGAAATTAGCTAAAGTGATTGATGTGTCCCCTTCCTCGGTACCTGCTGTCCCAAGACGCTTGGACTCTCTCTATAAGATAGATATGTCTGCTGCAAAATGGGTCTCAGCACCCCCTAAGGCAAATACTGTCGTGGCGAAATCACCAAAAATAAACGCCCTAGAAACTCCACAACAGCGCCACCTGACAGGGAAGGCAGGAAACTTGACACTCTGGGGAAAAAGGCCTACCTTGCGGCCAGCCTATTCACTCGCATGGCCCACTATGCGACCTATATGAGTGGGTACCAAACCTTCCTTTGGAACCGCATGGTACCCCTCATTGACTCTCTGCCCGTGGAAGACCAACGTCTACCGAGGGCATATCACACTGAAGCTTTGGCGTTGTCCAAGCTTCAGAAGGATTTCGCCAAGCATATGGCGGAAACATCGGGCAACTTGTTTGCCACCGCCACGTCTATTAGAAGACACGCATGGCTGAGGGCCTCTAACCTCTCAGAAGAGGGAAAAGCCCTCGCTGAGGACCTCCCCTTCCACGAGGAGGGGTTGTTTAACCCCAACACAGACGACAACCTGAAACAGAAACAAGATGTGAGGCAATCTGCTTTTAAATTTGGCTACGCATGGCAGCCATACCAGCAGCAAAAGAGCAGATGGCAACCCTCCCCCTCTACCTATCGAAAACCTTCTACGGGCTTCTTTTCAGGTTCTTATAGGAACAGACCAGGGGGTCAATCCAGATTCCAGGGAGGAAGGCGAACCCCTTATTTTCAGAAACCAAGGTCTCAACCCTTCCAGGGAAAGCCCAAGCCTGCTGGCGCCTCCAAAAAGCGCCTTTGATGTCCCATGCCCAAGGGTTGAGGAGGGATCTCCTCAGACCCACTGTTCACCCCAAGTTGACCCATCCTGTAGTGTAGCGCTTGCTCACACACCAGTCTTTGCCAGTTCAGGACCTCCCACACAGTCCTCGCCCTTTTTCAAGGACAGACTTTCTACTTTTTACCCGGCATGGGCGGAGATCACCTCCGATACCTGGGTACTGTCTATTATCTTCAGAGGATATCTGATTGAATTTGTTGATTACCCTAGGGTGGGCCTCCTTCGAGATACCCAATGTTCTCCCCAACTGTTACAGGAGATTGACATGTTGTTATTGAAAGGGGCGATTTCCGTTGTTGACCCCGCTGTTACTCCGTTCTGCTTTTTTCCCCGTTATTTCCTTGTATCTAAGAAGGGCGGTGGGCTGCGCCCCATCCTGGATTTGAGAGCACTCAATAAATTTGTCAAACCAAAGAAATTTCGTATGGTAACTCTCTCCTCCGTTACCCCCCTCATACCCAGGGGTGCTTGGTTTGCTACTATAGATCTCAAAGATGCGTACTTTCATATCTCCATTGCCCCACAACACCGAAGGTTCCTATCGTTTAGAGTGAAGGGTCAAACTTACTGTTTTAACGTATTACCCTTCGGGCTCTCCACCGCCCCCAGGGTTTTTACCAAGTGCATGGCGGTGGTGGCAGCTCACCTTAGAACTAAAGGGATTACCGTTTACCCTTATATTGATGATTGGCTTTTGGTAGCTAAATCCCGCCAACAGCTACAAACGCATATCTCTATGGTTTTGTCTCTCCTCCAGTCTTTGGGCCTCGTTGTCAACCGGGAGAAGTCCGTACTGTTCCCAACGCAGCGAATCCAGTTCATTGGGGCCCTCTTGGACTCCATCCACGAGAGGGCCTTCCTTCCGGAGGACCGGTTCCTCAACCTCCGGGAGCTGGTGGGACACGTCATGACTGCACCCCTGGTATCAGCCAAGCAGATACAGACCGTCCTGGGACACATGGCTTCGACCACTTCGGTCATCCGACATGCCAGGCTACGGATGCGACCACTCCAATTTTGGTTTCTGTCCAACTTCAACCCCTTACTGGACAACCCCTGCACCAAGCTATCCCCTCCCCAGTGGGTCCGCTCCTCCCTCAACTGGTGGCGGGATCCAACCTGGGCATGCTCGGGGTTATCGTTCCATACCCCGTCTGCCACCATCACTGTCACCACAGACGCCTCCCTCACGGGTTGGGGAGCACACTCCCAGGGTCTCATTGCTCACGGGACCTGGTCAGAGCAAGACGCCATGCTCCACATAAACACTCTAGAGCTCATGGCGGTCGAAAACGCTCTAAAATCCTTCGAAAGGGTGATTACGGGAAAGGTAATACACATTCTCACCGACAACACCACGGTGATGTATTACCTCAACAAACAGGGGGGTACCCGGTCACCGACGCTTCTGACCCTTTCCACACAAATCTGGGAGTGGTGCATAGCCAGGGATATTCACTTACTAGCAACACATGTTCCGGGAGAACAGAACCTACTAGCAGATGCACTGAGCAGGAATCCCTTGGCCCACCACGAGTGGACCCTCAACAACTCGGAGACCCGCAGGCTATTCCTTGCATGGGGCTTTCCCGACATAGACCTGTTTGCCACCCGGTCGAACACCAAATGTCCCATGTTCTGCTCCAGGACACTTCCCTCTCCGGAAGAGGGGTGCCTAGGGGATGCGTTCCTGCTGTCATGGACGGGCCGCCTGACCTACGCGTTCCCCCCGTTTCCTCTCCTGTTGAGGGTGGCAGCAAAGATCCTCCACGACAAGGCCCACTGTATTCTAATAACTCCGTGGTGGCCCAGGCAATCATGGTTCCCCCTTCTCAATCAGTTGTCACAAGGGATCTTCTTTCGCTTTCCCCCCAGGGCGGACCTGCTGACCTCGCAGCGGAACCTAGTACTGTACCCAGAAGTACACAAGTTGAGGTTAACCGCGTGGCGGATAGTA